GCGATTTAAGTTTACCTGCTAATAATATGTATAATATAAACGTTAATTTATGATATATGTTTAAGAATGATTGAATGAAAAAAAAAAAAATCGTTAACATATACAAAAAGTCAGTTTTTTGTGGGAAAAAATTATTTGTTAGGCGAAAATATATAATCTTAATAAATTATTTTGTTCAAATTATTCACTAAAACAATATGCATAATACGATTTAAGTTTACCTGCTAATAATATGTATAATATAAACGTTAATTTATGATATACGTGTTACATAAATTAATTATTTATCACGTGCGTAGCACGTGCATCTTCCTAGTAGAACAAAGTTGCGTGAGAGAGAGAGAGAGAGAGAGAGAGAGAGAGAGAGAGCAGCACAACATTGATACTATACCGTCCTCTACAATTCGAAAGGCATTTTGGTAATACTATCCAGCAGTAATGCAGTTGAATCAATGGCAGCCTTTGTTAGCCAACTGATCCCTACTTTTAATCGGTGCTCGTCTGTTGGCAGTCGGCTTAAGTATGCTATTTTTCTCGCTGCATCACAGCCAAATCGTACGAAAATCACAATACAGCTGCTGATATTAGATAAAAATAAATGAAGCAAAGGTATTAATACCAGTGTGACCAATTGGACCCTCCAATGTCAGGCCCTCCGTGAAGCTTGGTGAAACAGAAGCATCATACCTCCCAAGCGTCATCATCTCACCTAAATTCTGAAACCTGGAGCAAAGTTCAGCAGTCATCATTTGGGTAGTTCTCGTTTGGAGTTTTCTCAGCATTTTTTTTATTATTTTTTATCTTTGTGGAAATAAACAGTTCCCACAGCAAGTTGATACATAAAAAAAATTGTGGTATTTTTGTAGATGAATATTTTTATGGCGAGTCACAGATGTCACATCCACAAAACACTTAGGATTGAAAAAACATGGCTTGTGGCCGTTTATTGAAAAAATATGTATGGTTGATGCAGTCAACAGGATAATAATGTAGCTGTGTACATTTCTGTACCTCCCTAACCTACTTTTTCTCAAAAATGTTTAAGGTGTAACGAAATCCCAAAAACTTGTACATATCTGTGTATGAAGTGTGCGCCATATATGGATTTCAACAAACCTAAATGGTAACAGAGGTCGACCATTTATTGCGGCCCACAGATTCCAGCCGGCAAAATCAGCCTGTTGAAATGCTACCTGAAAAAAAAGATATATAGTAGCAGGTTCAAGCTAATCAGACAAAGAATCATATAGTACATGGAGAAAGTCGGAACATTTTCTTTCTTTTCAGACAAATATCCCATGATACATAACCAGTGGGAATACAAGGATAAACGATACCTGGGCAGTGCTTGGAAGCAAATTTCCTCGACCATCTTTCATAGCAGAAGAGTCGCCAATAGCAAATATACGCGGGTGACCCTCAACACGAAGAGTTTCATCAGTATCAGCTTGACCCCTACTGTTTAGAGGAAGTGATATGGGTTTATCACCGGGTTTGTGCTGAGGAAGCACAGGTTTTGAACCGACAGTCCATAAAACTAAATCTGCTTCTACATCTTGTCTAGGCACACCCCTTTCAGCAGGCTGCAACTCCAATTTTAGTCTTTCATGGTTTTGTGCTCCTACTTTATTGTCACACTGTGCAACTCTCTTTATAGAACAGACAAAATAACCCAGCAAAAACTGAACACTCCTGGACTTGAGAACCTGCCAGAAGATACTTCTCAAGTCATAGCTTACTACAGGCATAATTTCTATAGGGTAACTACAAAGCAGTATCTTTTTTTTGTAAAAACACAAAACTATCGCTAGAGGATTTGCGTGCAGCAGCATTGAAATTTCCGATCCACATAATACAAAATAATTAAATACAGATAATTTAAATGAATCAGAACAATATTATCTGCAAATCTTCTCCAAAGGACTTGAAAAACTTTCGATTAGGATTAAGGCATGGCATCTCCTAAATTTGAAGACAACTTCAGTCAGGAATAATAGATAAATCAAAAATTGAAGTTTCACAGGAAACGTAGGGAAGATCTGTTACTTCACTCCTGATTATGAGCTTTTATTAGTTGCCATTCAATAAATTTAATCAAGTAAATAATGGACCTTTATGATCGACCAGCCAAATCGGAATAGAGTCAGAGTCTCACTTCAGTCAGCAAAGAAATTAGGTGAAGACCAATTTTCATTGCTGGAATAAAAGCGATTTTTTAAAAATGCCTCTCTCATCATAAAGGCTACTCATTTTCTGGAATATTTAGAGCTACATGAATGTCACTGAAGATATTTTATTGCGGGATAACTTAGTATTGAAGGCTCTGAACGAAATCGACTAAGAGAATAACAATAACATGCACAAAAGCAAAGAGAGAAGAAACAAAAAATAAAAAAATGAGCAGTAAGACTGAGTCACCGATTAATTTTCTGTCAGTTATAGGTTTATCCAACACATTAAACAAACAATTAAAAGTAGGGCCCACCATAATGATCTTCCAGTTCTAAAATTGAAGGTTGGTACTCTTGAAGTGCCGATGGTTCTTTTTCTGTTCTCTATGTTTTTCTTGTTTCATATTTTTCAAGTAAATTTTTTTCTTCTACTGAATTTTTCAAGAAAACCTACCCAGTAACTCAGCTCTTCATCTCTCTACACCTGTACTCATTAGCTTGGAGAACCTTCCCACACATCAACATTCTCAAAAGTAGCTGGTGGACGTTGAAAGAGTCCGAAATAAGAAGTTGTGGAAAATTTTATTTTACTTGAACTGTGATATTCTCTCTTCAATGTGCGCTAACATCACATCTATAAACTACAAATCAACAAGTTATAATACTCTAAAGCCAGTTTTTGGGATTTTTTTGTAATAATTCAGAAAGGAGCAATCTCTATATGATATAATGATGGTGATGATATAAGAGCATGTAATGTGTTTTGTGAACTTCGCAACCTGTAGTATCTTTTTTTGGTAAAAATGCAACCTAAACTTCATGAACATTCGTATCCTGTAACCTCTAGTGCATCTTCACCATACAATCAAAAACACTCACGTGTATGGTCAACATGTACGAGAAAGGTTGCAAATTATGAATATTCATGAAATTCAAGTCACATTTTACAAAAACAAATATTATAGATTGCAAAGTCCAAAAACACGTATAGTACATGTTGCAGAATGTTTTGCCCTAGATAATAATATTTATTTTTGGAGATTTTTTTTTACCAAATTAACACCGTCAATGAAACTGAAAGAATCAGTTCTCTAGTCTCTACGAGCGAATGATAGATCATGACATAGAACTTAAAAGTACAAGAAATAATTCAGATGCTACAACGTGAATTTATGCAGCAGTTACGTGAACACTACAAGAAGCACTCAGTTGTTGAAAACACTGCAAAAGCGAACATGGTAGATAGAATTTTCAAGCACCATTTATCATCAAAACCAAGCTATATAAATTATGTGATTCATCAGACACCAAAATTTCAGATAGATTCAGTACCCAAAAAATTGCATGTCTTACTTTTAATGCAGATTCCCGATTGCCAGGAGTAGCATTCGACAAAATGGTTTTCTCAACATTGACTGCTTGTACAACTCCCCGTGTTTGGAGTCTTTCTGATATTGTGGCAGCCAATTCAATTCCAGAGTAACCACATCCAACGACTGCAACTCTAATTGGAGAGTCCTTACAAAAGAATTCACGCTCAAGTGTTCTTAGCTTCTCATTGACCCTCTGCATCAAGAATACCAACATATAGAGAAGGTTAGAGTTAAATCCGTCAGATCTCTATAACACGTAACATGTAAGTCAGCGGATATAGTTTAGATACATACCCGAGCATCCTCAAGAGTGGTAAACGGCAATGCATATTCTGTTGCACCCGGCACAACATCAAGTTTAGCTTCAGCTCCAAGAGCAAGTACCAACCTGATCAAATGGAATAGAATCAGGAGACATCATAAAAATGCCAAAACTAAAGTACTGCTTCACATAGACATGTAAGTATAAGAACAGAGAAATCATATGAATCGCTTCGATAGTAAAAGCATTTTGTTTTTGGGCAAACACTAGGTGCCAGTACAACTTAAAATAGATAATTTAGTTGGAAATATAAATTTATATATACGTGGAAACAAGAGTATAGAATCATATCATTTGCATATCCAAGGTTGAAACATTTGACCAAATTGCAAAAATATATAGAACAGGATGATAAAGCATAGAAGACAACAAAAGAAAGATGTATTTATAAAATTGAATATAAAGTCATCAATACCTCAAAACAAAGTCAGCATCTATAAACGCCCCAAAATCTAAATGAAATAGAAATAAAGAAAAAATAAAAATAGGAAATACTAAAAATTGTAAATGGGCTAACATGGGGGTGCAAGCAATGGAATTGGGGACCCAATACCACTTGGTCCATGCGATGGGTTCATTCAGAATCGTCTTCCGCTTCTGAAAACATATTATAATAGCATTCCATGCCCAAATGCAAAAACTACGTGTGTTTTGATTTCCACCGACTAACACCCTTTGATCAATCTTCAGCAGCACCATACTCGTCGTCTACATGTTCCACATCAATCTACCCCACTTGAAAAGAACTCAACTCTGAGTGATCTGGATAAAAAAAAGGCTTTGGGGGTATATAGCAGACAAGTCAGCCACATTTAACGTGTGAGAAATGCCCAACGACTCCGGCAAGCCAACCACACATGCATCATCATAAATCATACGCACAATCTCATATGACCCATACTGCTTCAGCTGCAGCTTATGGTAATAGCCTCATGACGATAAAAAACCATCACGAGATCCCCAAACGTGAATAAGTTAAAAGCAACTTATCAAGAACTTCCGCTTGAATCTCTAGCAAAGCTTTAGCCAAATTTGTCCACGTCGTTCTCTAACTAACAACCAACAACAACTCCACTAAATCAACTGCATGTCACGGCACCTTTTGGTTAACAACAGTAGGTTGACCACAAACACATAATCAACTGCAAGGAATAAAGAGCACCATCTTGAAGAACCGATTAACCACCACAAACACATAATCAACTCTACGCTGGATAAGAAGTAGACCAAGGACAAAATCCATGAACAAATCTCTTGAGAAGAAGAATTAAATATTGAGAGGGGAGTCGTGAAAATGAATTGCTTGAGAAAGACTCTCGACAAGCATGGCTATACAGGGTGAAACTGTATAGGCAAGATCCCTTGATTATAGGGATTAAATAAAATTACAATAAATCGTATCCCTAATCACAATCTACTAATTATAAGAAAGAGAGATTAAAAGGTATTTTCCAATTATATCT